AAGCTCAACGTGACTCCAAGCTGACTGAACTCCAGGAGGAGCCCAGCATTTCTTCGCGAGTTTCCATCGTGTTGCAGCGCTACTTTGGTCTGAATGTTGTCCATCAGTACGCCATCGGTTCCCACGGCGCCCACGTTGATTGGGCGGGCTTTGACGACAACCACCACGTTGTCGTCATGGGCGAGTGCAAAAAGCAGGAGCAGCCGTTCCAAGAATATGGGGGCCAGGTTGCCAACGAGCTCTTGCGACTGGGGGCCATTCCAACGTTGTATGAGAGCAACAGCGACATATCGCTGACTCGGCGGAAGGACATTTTGTGGCCCATCATCAACATCAACGTGGTGGGAGACCATGTCAGCGCCTACCTGGCTTTGCATGTGATTGATGTTCCATGGGAGCAGTTTAAGCGCTGCCTGGCAGAGATTCTGCCATTGTTCGAGATTGACGATTTGAACGCGAAGCCGAAGTCATCGGGGCTGTTCTTCTTGCGCCTCGGTGCCGCGAACTTTGAAAAAAATCCGCGGCAGGTAGAAAGCATCTTGCGAGCTTGCAAGGAATTTGTGCAAGAGGATTTGGCGCACTTGCTGGATCGGGATGCTCGGACTGTATTGCGGCCACGGCTGCCTCCACAACCATTTCCTTGCCCTTTTGACCACCTCTGCAAGTGGAATCTGAAGGATTCGTATGGTCCCAACGTGCAGGTCTACAGCATCGGGAAGCAAAACAAGGAGCAAGGCAAGGTGTTCAAGCACTTTGACTACTGGGGACGCACGGCAAATCTCTGCAGCAGCCTCTCGGCACAGTGTGTGCCTTACCAAGATCGCCGCTACCCGCCTGACGACCGAATCTTGACAAAACTCAGTCAACTGGATGTGACGGGCTCGTTCTATCAGAAGTGGGAGGTGGCGAGGCTTGCAACTGCCGTGGATGTGCTCAGCTACCCTTACGTGAAGCCGGCAGACACCGTCGAGATTGAGCAACTGGTCCAGGTCATCTACCAACTGAAGGCCATCCATAGCGTTGACTTTGTGCACGGCGACATTCTTCCTCGCAACATTCTTTTTTGCAGCGACTGGGAAGGGCATCCTGCGGCCTTTCTCATCGACTTTGATCTCGGCCGGTTTCTTGCTGCTAATCCTGCCCACAACCCCGTCTATGCCTCCAATTTTGCCAGGGAAGGAAAGCCGCTGGAGCCTTTTCGTCACCCATCTGCCCGGCGGAATTTGCCAATGCAGAAGGAGCACGATGGCTTT